ATTTTGGTTAGCCAAGTTCTAAAAATGAAACTGAATCCTGATGTTGTTTAACTGACCTAAAATCACAAGCACATACATACAAGCAGTTGATGACTATTAGATGGGATTATCTCTCAGAAGCTTATATTTAGCAGTTTATCCAGGTTTTGTCCCAGTTGTTGCTGACTGTGGTGACCCTGTGTCATTTTAGGGAGCTGATTTTGTGGAATTTGATGTTCAGCTTAGTAAAGATCACGTGCCAGTGGTTTATCATGATTTGAGAGTGTGTCTTACTCTAAAAAAGGTTAGTAGAGTCCCATTAGTATGAAGTTTTGAATCTTAAGAATAGTCCAGAAATGTTATCCACTAGTTCTCACTTGTCACCATTTTATTTGTCTTGAATAAAAGGTAATGAAGATGATTGTTTTAAATCTCATCATCGAATGAGCATTCAAATTATTATTATTATATTGTGATTGTAATTTTTGCCTCATCAGATAATTACCCATTTGATTTTATTATCTCTCTTTTTTTAATTATCTCTGTGACAAAACTGAAGGTAAGCATTTTGACTATCACTACATGATTGACAAAATTTAAATTACCTGTTGACTTTGAATGGAATTATTATAAGTATTATAAGTGATTTTTTTTTCTTCTTTTCCAGAAACATGGTAAGGAGATTGATATGTTTCATATTCCAGTGAGAGAGCTGACCCTGCAGCAGTTACAAAGTCTTAAACTTTCTCACCCTGCCGAAGTCAAGGAAGTACACTCAGGTATATAACAAGAAAAGAGCAAACCTGACCAAGACTTCTTTCAAATGAAAACCTGGACACAAGAGTGTCACTTTCAGGTTAAAAACGAGGATTACCATCCTAATATCGCTGTCACTGTCACTGATGTTTAACATATAATATGCAGTCTTCACTATACACTTGCAAATAAATAAATAAATAAAAGTCGTCCAAAGTTGGGATTGACACATAAATTTCAAGTTGACTGCTTAATAACTTACAAGTCATTAAGGATGTATCATTGCTTTTGTAATTTTTAAAAGCATTTATTTTATGTTATGGAACAATCTTAAATCAAGATTACAACCATTTAAGGTGAATTCAGTTGTAAATTTTGAGCACACACTCTGTTGTACCCAGAAGTTAAGTCATCTTCAGAATAATTCACTGCCATTGCTTTTCATTTTTAAAATGTCACATTTTACTTACAGATCATGATATGGAGACAGTGGACCCATTAGAACACCAGCCCTTTCCAACTCTACAGCAGTTGTTTGAAACATTGGACGAACACATTGGGTTCAACATTGAGGTGAAATATGCCATGCAACTTAGGGTAAGTTGAACAAATTTTGTCAAACAATATCAAACCTTTCCAGACTGGATTTACCATTTCCCCCTTTCAAGTTGGGATTCTTGGATCATTACAAAGTCGTTTAGAATGACAACCCTCCATCCCTCGCCCCTCTTTCTCTCTCTCTCTTCTGCTAAATTAATTACTTTAAGACTGACTCCCCCAGCTCTCTTTCCTCACTCCAGACTGGCACCTATGAGGAAGACCAGGTTCACTATACTGAGAGAAACCACTACATTGACCACATCCTGCAGTGTATTCTGGACAATGCTGGGTCTAGGAGGATCATACTGTCCTGCTTTGATCCTAATGTCTGCACTATGTAAGTACAACCTAAGGGCGCATTCAGAACAATTGGATCCTTGGACTAACAGATCTGTGGATCAAATATGGCGCCACCCACTTTTAAAGTGTGCTGAGATTTAATTGCTCTGCCCCCGCTAGGACGGTGTGCATGGGGGATATTCATTATCAAGTGCGCACCATATTTGATATGCAGACTAGTTAGTCCGCAGGTCATTTTTGTTGTGAATGCTGTCTAACACATACTAGTACAATTATTCAGCAGAGCATATTATGTATATACAATTTTTTCAATCCATATACTGAAAGCCATTTTGATAGATGTAACAGTGTTGTAGTACATGATGAAATGTACTGGATTCCCTGTACAATTTGTATGGTGAGGTGATAATGAAGTGAACTTATGCATGAATGGTAGGGGTTTTAAAGTCTGATGAATGCTGAATGAGAAGTGTTTCCTCTTATCGGTGTTGTTTTACCTGTTGTATAACACAATAAAATAAAAAACAATATTTTTATTAATGTGTAGGGATCCATGTAACTCCCTACCCAGGTTCTTTCTAAACTGGCACTTGTCACTGAGGCATGGGAAAGGGAATATAACAACCTCACATCTTCAGTTCTAAATCTAAAGTCCCTTTATTATGTACAAAATGCAGACTTTATACACATGTTATCTACAGGGAATCTATATGGATGCCACCGTGGCAGCAACTGATTTACATACTAATTGTTCTGCAATAGTTAACAGGTGAGGGTTTCTACTTATCAAGTGTAAGATATGTATTTGTCTCAGGCATACCTGCACAGAGAATGGTAAATATTCATGCAAGACTGAGGCAAAGTGAATGCTAATATGTTGACTGCTTATCATAACACAAGTCAATATGTAAGTGGGTGAGCTTTCCACACACCTTCAATGGACCTTAACAAATGTCCTCACTTGCCTACATGTTAATGACTTGGCTCCTAGACGTAAAAAAACATCTAGTTAAGGGGAAGTAAAATGGATAAAAGCATAGAAACAGTGGTTTGTTCTTATATGTTGTTTTAAAAAATAAAACATACTTCCCAAAA